AAACTTTCGCGCCGATCTGGATTTACGTGTAGAACGACTACAATCATAAAGTGTAATATCATACTATCAAATCAATCTCACGGTAGAGCACGTGATTACCGGAAAATTCTAGAAAATATAAAATATATACTTCGTTTGCGCTGTGAATCAAAAGTTTTGAGAGTTTTTTAAAGGGGATAAACCTCTTGTTCAAATTATGGTTGTGACGAAAATCGATAACATGGCCTCGTACTCCACATACACGGGAAAACCAAAAATTTTCTTCCCAAAGAAGGTAAGGATTAAACATAACAAAAATGTGTGCACAGATGAAAATTCAATCTTTGCCACTACAACAATAACAAAAGAACACAACTGCGCTGACAACGAGAAGGCTATTTAATAATTTTTTAAACATTTTTAAGTATTTGTGTTGTGTTTTCCTTTATTTTTGGTGCCATTTGTAATTAAAATTAGGCACACGCTTGTAGTGTTCTTATCTTTCGATACAATTTTGTGACTTAAGTATAGGTAAACATGTACATACGTACATACCTACGTGTGAACTTAAGTAAGCGAAACACAAGTCATAAGAATAAAGCCAAATTTTTCGTTAAATAACAGCCGCGAACTAACATAAGTGGTTAACAAAAAAATTTATAATTTATTATCAATATAAATATAATAATTATTTATTATTATCCTTTCATTTATCAGGTTTCATTTTAGTTTCAGGAAAATACTTTTTTCTGTCATGGCGAAATGTTATTACTTATATACCGAAACAAACTACGAAATTATAACATAATTTTAGAAATTGTTTCTTAAAAATTATCTATCAGATAGGTACTTGCAAAATTTGAGATGCTCTACAACGGCGACCTACTTTGGAAACATTCACGGGTCGGCCTTGTAAAGATTCTTAGAAGTTTTAGCGCACTTGTTGGCTCCCGTCAAACATTGATGACACTCGACGCAGAACCTTCATTCATTTTCAATTCATTGTATTCTTGAAATTCTTTCATAAAAAAAAAACCCAAATATGAAGCAATTCCGCAAAATGTTTTCGAATTACGATACAATTCTGGTATATTCCTACGGTCATATTCTCACAAGGCATCCGCATAATACTGGTTATTCACAAGGCCCTCGTTGCAATATTGTGTGACCTACAAAAGTATCGGCTATCTCGTTGCGTGAAACTCATAATATGTAGTAGTTTTCTTGACGAGAATATCCTAAAGGGTACATAACATTACATCTACTGTAACAAATTAACATCAAACATACGAATATTATTTTTTTTTTAATTCTTTGTAGCTATATATTTTATATTTTGATTCGATTTTGTCGTTGCTACGGACGTAAACCGGTGAGACTCATAAATAAAGCCTAGTGGCTCATTAACTTATACAGTTGCCTTTTACGATTCCAATTAAAATCGATTGCTATATAGGTCACGGATGATGATAATGTTTCTAAGTGAAGAGGACTAAAACGGTAATTGATATAAATTATAATATTATCCTTATTAAAATAACAGAGAAAAGGAAGTCCTTTGCAGTAGGTTTGTTCTTGATAACTATTTTAAAACTCACCAAGATGTGTTAGGAATTAAATTGGTACGGAACCTCCAAGTTCTGTTGTAAGTTTAAAATATAACACAAAATTCCATGTAGATTTTCATTACCTTTTAGGATAATGTCTAATTAAATGTGTGGTCGAGGGTACTGTTAATTGGTTTATCCTCTTTGGATTTGACGTAGGCAGTAAACGGTCATATGAGATATATGATGACTGTTTGTATGAGCGTGGGTTAAAATAATTAATCAATGAATCTTATAAGCTATAGAAACCGGTTGTCCAGTAAATGAATTAATATGGTAATATTTCAAACTATCGTCTGGGTGTTCCGCGGAACGATGACTCCTTGCATTCCAGGCATGCCTTAAGGAAGCGGACACATTGGCGGGAATGTTACCCGGCACTAAGGACCCAAGAATGTGGTTCGGTATGCACCAGTCTCATCATAAATTGTCACGTCAAGAATTTACGTGTATTCAAAATACTACCACATTTCGAGTTAATACTATATTAGTGTTCAGTATTAAATAAAAGTTTACAGTATCTATAAACACATCAAAAAATGGTGCGCATGCAACTTTGTGCACGAGGAAGAAGTGAAACTTCTTTTGTGGTGTGTAGTATCGAGGTTGTCTTCATTTTTCATCCTTGAATCAAATTTCTCTTGTAATAAGGGAAGGCTGTGTATAAGAGAAATGACCTGGCTCGCTTCGTCCTTTCTCTCTCCATGGTCGAATGGTTTGTGAGACGCTCTGCCTTATTTTCTCACTCTAGCTCTTCCGAAATTGTGTCTTTTCTCTCTAGCCGTAACGAATCTGTCACGAGTTAAATTTTACCCTCCACGCCCCTAAAGAAGTTGCACTTCATCAATATTATTTGTTTTCGTAAATACTGGCCTGCAATTTAATCTCGCCCGACGATTGCACTCAACTACTTTCCTCCCTAGGAAGAACGGTGGGCGCCAAAAATAGCGTTTCCGCCGAATGCCGAGCGCTCTAAGTAGGAAGTCTACATCGTCGGTCCACTTTTCCAACCGCCCACAGCTGTCTCGATGCTTATTGAGTTTACAACNTTCATCAATATTATTTGTTTTCGTAAATACTGGCCTGCAATTTAATCTCGCCCGACGATTGCACTCAACTACTTTCCTCCCTAGGAAGAACGGTGGGCGCCAAAAATAGCGTTTCCGCCGAATGCCGAGCGCTCTAAGTAGGAAGTCTACATCGTCGGTCCACTTTTCCAACCGCCCACAGCTGTCTCGATGCTTATTGAGTTTACAACACACTTATGTACGACACTGTGCCTACGCGCTATCTTAAGCTGAATTAAAATTACTCACACTTAGATCTTATTGACATTATACATACATCATTGATTGATGCGTGAACACCGGAAATCGGCTAATTTCTAATGCTTACATTAATTAAGAAATCTCAAAACGAAAACTTCAAAAATTTTAATCATATTAAAACGTATGGTTTTTGCGCAAAACCGATATACTCGTTACGAGGATAAGTATGCCAAAACTTGCTGAATATAAATTGTTTACATTAGACGTTGTACGTAAACGCTGCGTACGTTTTTAGGAGCACGTAGGTACCTCCAATACTTATCGAAGATTATAATGTCGACTGCTCCTCTGCGTAGGCTGAATATATGGGCAGTCTCACCAAAAAAGGCAGCGTAACAAAAGTTTTGTTTTCCTCGAAACATCCACGTACTTAATTGTTCCTAAGAAGTAACTGTTATTTATTTTATTTTACAAAGTTCGCATCGAACATCGTGTAGGTATTATTAGTATTTGTCTTACAATATAAAAAAATATTGAATATACATCAAAACAATGATTACCCGACGGTTTTTAGAAGACGGTTCCCAAGCTACTGCTATTTCAAATTCTCTTGATGTACTAGCATCCCCACCTTTGCCTGCGGCTGCCTTTTGTTATCTATCTATCTATATACATATATCAAAATGAATTGTTGTTCGTTAGTCTCGCTACAACTCGAGAACGGCTGGACCGATTTGGGTGTTTTTTGTCTTGAATTATTCGTGAAAGTCCAGAGAAGGTCTAAAAGGTGAATAAATATGAAAATGCTCGGAATTATATAAAAACAAACAATTTTGTTTTTCCTTTGATGTGTCCCCCGTCGAACCGATTCCTTTTGTTTGTTTTAAGTTTATTTTATACAAGATTTTAGGTCTTTTATTTATCGATTGAGGCACTACGAAGTCTGCCGGGTCAGCTAGTACTTCATAATTTCTAAAAAAAAATTAGTTTTTTTTCAAGTGGACCTTCGTAAACATTTTTAAATCGTCATGATTTTACCATTGGTTCGGAGTGTAGTTTTGCCACGGTGAACAACATCTCACGTAAACTTTATATGTATAATATTAAATCCTATCATCTTTGTTGGTAAAAATATTGAACCCATCGCGATCAGTATCGTCGTCCTGTGGAAAGGCGGTAATTATGATTAAATTTTTTTTAGCTCTATACGTCTATAACATCATTGACAAACTTTACTAGTTTTAATTAATAGCTTACTTTAAAAGCAATTAATATAATCGCTCGTATTAACAAGATTCAATGATGAGAATCACATGAGTCAGTTGGTTTGTTTAAAAATTGGTCCAAAATAATTTTGTTTTATTAGAAAACGCGAAGATGGCCTCCATAAATATATCATCAACTGTAGAGTGCTAACTAATTATATACTTTTTGAAATGTAACTAATTTATTATCATTATGAAAGTATTATCGCTATTTAATACTAGAGCAAAAAAAACATTTGTACCTTTGCCCCCATTGAGTACAGTACCGAAACAAAGAAAGCCTCAATTTGAAATGTTCACTAATATATTAGCTACATAATACGTATAAATATTACCAGGTAAATGAACTATGAATCATTTATTCAGAAATACAAAATGATTCATAAGACACTACAGATGAATTATTGGTCTTAGCCTCGATTTTGACTACTGAATTGAAATCTAAAAGCCGTTTCAAATCAAAATCAACGCAAAAACAATTCCGAAAAATAATAGTTTAAAAAAACTAACAAAATACGCTTTTATAAAAAATTCAATTACAAAATAGAAAAATAAATTTGAATTAAAAATAGCGTGGGGTGTTTTTCAGGATATTATCAAAATAACCCTTCTACTCACTACCACTACTCTTTTCTATTTTTTAGTTGAATTTAAATTTTTAAAATTTCGTTTTTTAAATATTGTATTGTCATCGGTCCTTAATAAGTCTACTAAATTTCGAATTAATTCGACGGTTTGAAGGGGGTCAAAATCATGTTCAAAGATTCCGTTACATACTAACATACATACGTTTGAAGCTAATAAAAGCGTATTAAAAATATAGGGTGTAATTCTCTGAAACAACAAAATAAAAAATTTTAAGTAATTGAATATTGCTTCAGGTCCGTTCCGAAGAGTCCCTTCTTGCACAAGAAAAGATCCCGAAGAACTCTCGATGGGTACGTTTCATTACCACCTTCCTGGTGTCGGACTAATGTATGAATTGTCATAAACCAATTGTCTGTATTTTTAATGCCTTAAGCGTCACTATTAAACAATCGCTTCGTTTCTATTAAAAGTTTAACACGTTCAGATTTTTAATACATTATAATAGTTTTTTAATGATGTACCTCGTTAAGGCGTATATTGTGTCTTAATGTCTTCTAAATTATGTTGAAAAGTTTCTCTGGATTTTATCTACTATATGTTTGTAATTATGTACAGTGCTGTATACGCAGTACATGCTCTGTAACTTCTGCCAACATTTTAATCCTCACGTTCTTGACTCATTACCTTAATAACATCAATCATGTATGTACTGTAAAACTAATATAAGAGTTGTTTTTTTTTTTTGTTGTTGCAAAAAATGCTTTAGTGATACCCGAGAATCTAATTGGAAATTTTTATTGTCTTATTTCCCGTAAAATAATAAAAACACAATCGGTACAAAATGCTTACTTTACATTTAAAAAACAAACGTGGAGGTGGATACATATTCTTTTAAATATTGCTTCATTTGACAAAGAACTTCAGCGTGCGTGTCTGATAAATATTTCATACCTCAGTCAGTCAATTTGTAGTCCCGCTAAAAAAATGCACAAAAAAAGACTACAAATGACTAGCCTCACCGAACGTGTAGCTGAGCTCACGGAGCTCAGCCTGAAAAAATTTTCTAACATCTACTCTAGCAAAGTCAGTGCTTCGCTGAATCTACCACCGAATCGGAATCGTAACCCAACACGTCCTTACGGATCCATCAAATCCAATAACCTTTGCAGTAGACGCCTTCAGCTCGAACACTAGAAGCAGGCTTAGGGACCCCGGTAACCGTACTCGCCGGATCTTTTCGGCGAGTCGCGATTCCGATCCGGTATTAGATTAATTCGTGAAGCTCTTCAGTTGATAGGTCTCCTTTGGAGGCCCTCGGGAAGCTACTAGCTAATCTTACCCCTCCTGGCTGAGCCTTTGCTCCCCCACCTGTCCTGGTGAAACTGAAAAGACCTTCGGGCCACCAGTAATCCGTCAATCATTAAAAAAAAAGTGACCCACTGAGAAGATCCGGCGCGAAACACGGGTTTCGGGTTCGACGAGAACGGTGACAGATGCATGAAATACCTAAAAGCACCAAGACTGAATCGGGAAGATCCAAAATGCCTTAATTAGGAAGACGGCGACTGTTGATCTTTCGATTGTCTGCATGGTCTCTAAATAATGATTGGTAAATGATCATTAAATCATTTTTTTTAAATGTATGTACACTTCGTATCCAATAAGCTCAGGGCTTGCGACTTGTGATGTCAGATGTCTCATTCTTCAAACCGGAACGTATGACTGCAATGCTGTAGTAATAGGCAGGCTGGTAGCACGGACGGATCTAGGCCTACAATACTAGTAAATATCTATAAACAAATCAAAAATAAATAGTTTCGCACATTGCTACCACAGTTACCGCATTACTTGCAAACAAATTTAATTTGCATTTTAATTAATTAACTTCTAAATATAATCAAGATGATCGCTGATAGGTATTTATACATATATATCCCGCGTCATTTCTGCCATCTTAAAATTAATTAAATTAACAACGAAAAATCATTTCGCACATCCATAAAGACATTCACAACACAAAGTAACCATTAAAATAAAAATATGTTAATCTATTTTAATACACGTGTTATTGTCTCGTTCTGTTTATATTCACCTTGGTCTCAAAGTATCAAACTACAATGTTCGATGAAGCAATTATAGACTAAATAAAAATTATACTAAGTATAAAATTGCGCAATCATAACAAACAGACATCCGTGTTTCCTAACACGTTACCGGTTCTCTTTTAATCATCGACTAATTACCTACATATATATGTGGGATGGTATGGCGAAATTTAGTGGATATTTAGTTTAACAACAAAATCTTGTATTCTTTCAAAAAAATACTACATACACATTCGTAACATCGTTCTGTCCATTTTTATATCTGTCAGTTATATTTTCTTCTTTTAAAAATAAAACTCGTGTGCCAGTGTGAATTAACCAAAAAGTTCCGATCTTCCCACTTATATATACACAGATAGTCAACACGCCTATCGAGAAGTAAGTGAATTCGTCAACAACCATAGTTATTTCACGCGCAAACTTCAAAGACCTAGTTTACAAATACGTACGTATGTACGCTTCAAATATGTTGTGCAGTAACAAGAATATCATTGTACTTTGTGCTGTGGAAATATACTTTTAATATTTAATAATACTTTACGGTATTCGCGAGTCGATTAAAATTACTTTTACAACTTATACTTGAGTTTTATAAATTCATTTTGTTAATTATAAACAAATTAAAAATTAAACAATCACACAATATTCAAATGTCGACGAATAACAACTTAGTCGTTGGTAATCACAATAAGTGTAAATAAACCCTAAAACTTTTAAACCCCAAAACTTAAAAAAAATAATTAACTATGTTTATAAGGCTTTATAATTGTTTACCATATGCAAATAATGTAAGCGACTTGTAACTTCTTAATGTCTCGTCAATTGCATAATTCGGAAATGGTTCACGTCATACTTTTATCTAAAATTACATGGATTTCGAATACATGTTTTTTTGTGAAATTCATTACAATACGATTCTTTATCTATAGCATCATCGGCCGTCTAAACTAAAGTGACTCATTCACATTCCTTCATAGTGTTTTATCTGCAACGGAATGCGCGCTACAATCAATGGAATTTAGGGAAAAAAAATACTAATATTTATATGTTACGAGTTTTCAAACTGACCACTCGATAAGATAACAGTCAATTATAATTAAATGCATCTATTGATTGCAATCGATAAAACTTTAATAAGATTTGATAAGTGTGTTAGTTGATTTGTGTTATTAAATAGTTGTCTCGTGCCGTCTTGTGAAAGTCCCATCAAAGCGAACAGGATGTCGCGACTGAGTCATGATACCTGGCGGTTGTGGCTTGCGCACGCGCACGTATCTGTGTGTCTATAACACGCCTTAGTATATTGTGCATTGTGTGATAAGGGGACACGTGAACCATTGATGACTCACTTTATAAACATGAATTTTAATGAATCGATTGATTCGTTAATGTTCTCGGCAATCTAGATTGAGAACAAGTTGCCTGTTACATTTTTTTTGTCTAACTGGTTTCGTAAATATGGATATGATTAGTTAGCTGTAAATTATTTATGTAGCCTAAGTTTGGTTTTCCTATACGTCTTCAGTGTCTAAAATATACCTAAAAATGAAAAATAATTTCCCATGAATTTTAATAGGAATGCCGATAAATTTATTGTCAATGTCTTTTTTTCTGCCGTTTGTCGTTTCGTTCTATTCAAATCGTTCGTCGAACTAATATTTATACATATTAATGTTAATTTAAAATCTAAAACGAAAAGACACATACGAATCCAGTTTTATGAATGAAACAACTCATACAGTTTAGTCACACTCACATCTCCTCGAAACCGTTACGCTTTACGTGGAAACTCAATCACTTTATATGACTCAAAGCAATAAACAAGCGTAATACCTAATGCACATTGTTATTGTACAATTCGTTCAATGACAAAATTATATTCGTATGAAGTAATCGCAGCAATCAATTTAAGAATAAATTTTATTATCTAATAGGATGAAATCATATTTAGTATCTTCTTCGATTTTCGCAAGTCGTATTATAATTAAAACAATTTTTACCATTAAATCTTGTTTTAATTATTTTCATTTTTTTATATATTTTATGGCGTTTCGACTTCTTTACAGTTATCTTAGTCACGGACGACTAAGGTGCTATTCGTCAAAATTTCAATACTGTTTTAACTACCGTGTATTTCTGTAAAAAAAAATCGTAAAGTTTCATCAATCATTTCAGAAATGTAGAAAACTGTAAAGTATTCCTAACGTCCCAAACAATATATGCAAAAAATAAACACGAGATTAAACCGTAAAAACACTTTTAATTAGGATATCAAATACCGCTGAAAATATATTTTAGGACCCGATAAACGTAACCGAAACGTGTTGATGTTGTTATTTAAATTAATGACACATAAAATATGTATAGATAAATACGTGAACAAAAAAATTCAATTTTATATTCTAATGACCTACAGAATACAAAGTGGATGGATACACATTGATAGATACGCAAAATGTAAATTCCATCTCGTTGTAAATTCAACAGAATTTTCCATGTATTTAGTGCTTTAGATGCGTCATTTGATTATTCATAAACTGTTCATACACCTCTATTGTGTATTTAATTGTCTTCTTACATAATATATCACTTTATTAATTAATAGTTGCAGGTTTGTTTATTTGTGCGTGTTCAATGAGGTCACGCGCTTTTCAGCGATGGGGCTTCAATTTAATTGGTGTCTATAAAATGTAGCTTTTCTCTGGACACAAAGGATCTGTTCACAGATGTTTCATATTGATTTTTTCTTCGCTATGTCCCTTCTTAGTATCTATGTGGCGAAAAGCCATATCAGCTTTAATGGCCTCCGACAATATGTGAAGGGTCCTTGGACTCTAAATTTCTAAACTTATTTACCATTTTCTGTTTACCAAATTTATCAACCAATCATCGTCGAGGGTTAGAAAAAAATTAGCCCTGCCTTGGTAACATAAAACTTATTGTTGCGTCTTTTCGTGTGGTAGCTGCTTTTGATGCCATAGTTGCTGAGAATTGCATTGGTACAGTTACATGTGACTGAATCACGGACAAATGGGAACTTTTCATCTTTTGAAAAGAAAAGAAGAAAAAAAACTACAATTTTATTTATTTAAAACTATGATTTGTAATTTCATTCGCGTACTATCGATACTATTATATTTGTTAAATCAGTTATACCCGACGTGGACCGGGTCATGTCATTTACCGCAATCCCAATGAGTTTCTCGCCGGATCTTCGCCGTTGCGGTTGCGATTCGGTGGCAAAT